ACAATCATGGGAGAAAGAAGAGCTGCTTATGCACAGGGAGACAGCTCAGGGGGCAGGAGTGCATGGAGGGATGGACACAGGGAAGAGGTAACTATCGGAAGGAAATATGAGGGGGATGCATTGTGGTTAACTGTGGTCAATATCGTGAGACAAAGTGTATGTGAAATGTGTTATGGAAAGTGAATTTGCTCTGTAAATTTTCACCCAAATCACAATTTAAAAAAAAAAGAGATAGAGATGGAGAGTTGCAGACTGGATAAGAAAACAAAACCCATCAATATGCTGTCTACAAGAGACACACCTTAGAGACAAAGACAAAATTAGACTAAAAATCAAAGGTTGGAAAAAGATCTATCAAGCAAATGACAACCGTAAAGAGCAGGAGTGGTAATACTGATTTCTCATCAAATTGACTTTAAGACAAAAACCACCATATGAGACAAAGAAGGACATTATATAGAGATTAAAGTATCAATTGAACATGAAGATATAACCGTAATAAGTATCTATGGACCCAATGAAAGAGCCCCAAAATACATAAATCAGACTATAAAAGAGATGAAAAGCCAAATAGATGACTCCACAGTCATAGCGGGAGACTTTAATCCACCACTTTCAATGAAAGATAGAACTGGAAAGAAACTCAACAAAGATGCAGAAGAGCTAGCTAAACAATACAATCCACCAACTTGACCTTATAGACATCTACAGAGCACTTCACCCAACAGCACAATATACATTTTTTTCCAGTGTATATGGATCATTTTCCATGACAGATCATATGTTAGGCCATAAAGAAAACCTTAATATATTTAAAAACTTTGAAATACTGCAAAGCATCTTCTCAGATCATAATGCTATCAAATTAGAAATCAGTAATAGGAAGATCAATGGAAAAAGAGTAAACACATGCAAACTGGTAATACCCTCCTTAAGAAAGATTGGGTAAGAGAAGAAATAAATATTGAAATTCAAAAATTCCTTGAATCAAACGAGAATGAAAACACAACGTACCAAAATCTTTGGGACTCAGCGAAAGCAGTGATCAGAGGCCAATTTATAGCAATACATGCACACTTCAAAAAAGAGGAAAGTGCCAAAATCAACACTTTAAACCAACATCTCCAACAATTAGAATCAGATCAGCAAGAAAAGCCTATAGTCACCAGAAGAAAGGAAATAATCAAGAATCAAGGAGAAATCAATGAAACAGAAAATAGAAGGGCAACAGAAATAATCAACAAGACCAGAAGTTGGTTTTTTCAGAAGATCAATAAAACTGACAAACCACTGGCAATTTAACAAAGGAATAGAGGGAGAGAATACAAATAACACGAATAAGAAACTAAATGGGTGACATCGCAACAGAACCAACAGAAATAAAAAGAATATCAGGATACTACGAAGAACTGTACACCAACAAATTTGAAACTCTGGAAGAAATGGACTGATTTCTAGGTACACACCCCTTACCTAACCTAACACAGTCTGAGGTGCAAAATTTGAACAGGCCCATCACAAAAGAAGAAATTGAACAGGTCAACAAAAAATTAACAACAAAAAAAAGTCCTGGCCCAGACAATTTCACCAGAGAATTCTACCAAACATTCAGAGAAGAACTAACACCATTCCTACTCAAACTATTCCAAAACACAGAAAAGGATGGAATCCTCCCTAAGTCATTTTATGAAGCAAGCATAACCTTGATACCAAAACCAGGCAAAGACATCACTCAAAAGGAAAACTACAGACCAATATCCCTCATGAATATAGATGTAAAAATCTTCAACAAGATCCTAACTAATAGACTCCAACAACGTATCAAGAAAGTCATTCATTATGACCAAGTGGAGTTTATATGAGGTATACAAGGATGGTTCAACATTAGAAAAACAATCAACGTCATCCACCACATAAGTAAAACGAAGGAGATGCGCTGTAGTAAATTACCTGGTATGGCTTTTCTAGCCATAAGTCTTTGTAAACTCCATGGTGGAATTTTCTGTGAGCAATTGAGGAGCTCCTGATTATAAAAATTATCCACCTGGGGTATTTCTGTTGGAAGCAGCACAAAGTGATGTTCTGGGAAGTTCACTCTTTCTCACATGCTTAGAATTCTGATGTTATGATTGGCTAGTTTGGTCACTCTGCCAGGCTCAAAAGGAGGCCTCCTAGAGGCAGAAGCTCTCTCTGTGACTTCTGACTGAAAAGGACATGCTGCTGAAAGAGACACGCACTCCTGAGAGACATGTGCTGCTGGGAAAGAGACACAAGAGACAAGCATTTCTGAGAGAGACATCGAGAGACACGCACTGCTGGGAGAGAGTGGCTAAGAGAGACTGTTGGCTGAGAGACAGCAGGCAGAGAAAGACTGAGCGTTTTTCCTGAACTTGAATTGTAGCCTGGTACTTCCCTAATGGGAGCTCTGGTAGCATAGTGGTTAACGCACTTGACTGCTAACCAGAAGGCTGGCGGTTCAAACCCACCAGCCACTCCTTGGAAGGAAGATGGGGCAATCTACTTCCGGTGATACTGCCTCGGAAACCCAAGGAGGGGTCGCTATGAGTCAGGTCCAACTTGATGGCACATAACAACAACAACTTTCCTAATAAACCCCATAATCTGTGAGCTCTGTATGGCCACTACAGTGAATTATCGAACCCAGCAGAATGGTGGTGAGTGCTGCGGGAGGAATGGTTGGTTCCAGGGTTGGTGAAAGGGCTGGAGGGAAGCAGCATGTCTGGCCTCGCAGGAATAGGCCTTGGGCTACTGATGGTGATTCTGTCTTCCTCTTGTGGGGTTCAGAGGAGGTCAGAAGATGTGGCCTCCTTGCCCCTTTAGCAGTTGGTGTCAGTAGCAATGGGATACGTTGCAATGGCTCCAGACTCATAGAAGCATGAGACTTTGTAAAAGAAAGAAGGAAGGGGCCTGGAAAGTGAAACTTCAGATTCTTAGAGCGTTACTTTGTTTGGTGTTACCTCTTAAAGGAGATATTCATCCAAAGGCTAGGCTTTTGGTTACATCTAGCCAAAGGCCCAAGGCCATATGCAAAGAATGGGATTGTAATTAAGGCGAAGAAACAGAACCTGGAATGTCTTAAAAAGGATTATGTGTTTCAGATTATGTGTTTACCTGAATGTACTATGGGTACTGAATGTCTCTTACCTGCTTGTATATTAGAAATGATTATGGGTAGTGGAAAACAGAGAGCATGTAAGTCCACCTTCAGCTGATACCTGATTGGGTATGTTTAAAAGGGGAAATAGAATTTGCCCAAAAGAAACCCAGGCTTTTGTTTTAAGCCCTGTGTGTAGAGTACTAGGAGCTTAGGTAGAAAACCTGAGCCCTACCCAGTACTACTGAGGGAATGGAGGATTTGCATTTGAAGAAAAGACCTGAAGAGAAAAAAATGACTGTTTGGCTTTTTGAATTTCGAGCAAGCAGATAGGCTTTGGGTGCATCAAAGCAGGAAAGACATGGTCCATGAGAGAAACCCCTTCCAGGACTGAAAGTTAAAAGAAGCCAGTGAGCGGTAAGCTTGTATGTTGCTCTCGTGACCACCTGGGTCCACTTGAGTGGAAATGGGGGAAGTGCAGCAAAGAAGAAACAGGCTGAGTTTGGTACTCTTTGACCTAGGCCGTGGAGACTGGAGATGAGAGGAAGGGCTGGCTGGTCTGAAGCACAAGGAGTTGTGAGCCTACAGGCATTGAAATAGTCCCTGACGGCTGAACATGTGAGAGAAGGTGCTGGCTGGTCTGAAGTAAAAGGAAGAGTGTGACTCCCAAACTTTCCAGCTGGTACCCATGACCTAGCTTGGATGGCTAGGGCTGAGCTGACCAGAACCCGACCAAATGAAGAGGAAGATGTTTGACACTGAGTATCACGTTTAAAAACAGTTTTTAACTACGGATATATCATAAAACTGTTTAAATACATTACAGAGAATAAGGCATCAGTGAGCCTCAGTTCTTAAATAAGAAAATCTTACCTCTTCAAAAACAGCAGCTTTATTTACTTTTTCCCTTGCAATGTCACATATTTTCAGGATTCCCAGAGCAAAAGCTTTCATGGCAGGATCTTCTATAAAGTCTGGATTATGAATATAAAGGCACGTAAATACTGTCTGTGCCAAGGAATGGCCTTCCAACCATGTGATCTATAAAGAAATGAAAGAATGTATCATTTAAGGGTGACACACAGAGTCTGGTAAGTCTAAATTGAACCAGCAAAGGTCAGGGGACTACAGACTTAAATAAATATAAATTTAATCAAAAGATTTAAATGATGATTAAAGGAAAGTCAGAAAAGACAGAAGAGTTAAAATTTACTTTCAATGACTAAAGTTTTTCCAGAATCATATACTATAAATATAAGTAGCTATTGATGGGGAAGCATTCTCAGATATTATTAAGTTGTATTATCTTTGGAGACTAATAAAATTAGAGTACCTCTTCTGAAGCATCAGAAAGCAGTCAATTCTAGAAGGCAGTAAATAAAAATCTGTAAACTGGGGGATTAACAATTTTGGAGTAGGGTCCTTAGCCATATATTCAGTTCTTCTCTCTCTCTTTTTTTAATAATTTATTTTTGTTGTTGAGAACATACACAGCAGAGCATATACCAATTCAGTAATTTCTATTTGTATGTACAACTCAGTGACACTGATTACATTCAAGTTGTGGAAAACTTTCCTAAGTACTATACTAGGTGTTTCCAAACACCTTAGCCCATTTTTTTGCTAACACTTTAAGGAAGATGGTATTTTTCTCCTTTTATATATCAGAGTTTAAACAATTTGCCCAAGTTGGCAATGATTTCTATACTGAAATCCAAGAATTCTGCAATAGAGCAAGACACACACAGTATCATGAAATGAGAAATACATACTAAAAATACTGTAATTAAGATGTGTATTTGGTATTACCAGTGTGGAGATGAGACTTTCTAGACTGAAAGCTCTCTATTAAAGGCCAAACACTTAAACATGGCCCTAACAGTATCATAGAAACAGAATGTTTCCTCAACCTTGTCAAAAACCGTCCCTCTTTCCTTTCTCTAATTTCCCATCCTGGTCTCTCCACAACTCTTCACTATTTAGACATTCCTTCTAGACTTTTATGATTTCTCACACTTAACATTTTTACTGCAAAGTCTACGCAGTATATTCCCTTTGCCTAAAATCTTGTTATCCCTTCTGCCACATGCCTACCATTCTTCAGAGCTTCACATGGCAGCATCACTCCCTTTCTATAGCCTTTCTTACTCTCCCAGAAATAATTAACCCCTCTTCTCTGTTCCCACTGCATAACTATAAAAGCATGTACATATTGTCAAAATTTTTGTCTTTACCTATCCATCTCCAACAATCTTTAATTTCCCTTCCTCGTGCTACCAGGAAGAAGCCTAGTAGCACGGTGGTTAAAGCATGTAGCTACTAACCAAAACGTTGGCAATTTGAACCCATCAGCCACTCTACAGGAGAAAGATAAGGCAGTTTTCTCTATAAAGACTGTTATTGTTAGATGCCATTGATTCAGTTACAACATATAGCTACACTACATACAAAAGAATGAAATACTGCCCAATCATGGGCCATCCTCACAATCACTGCTATGTTTGAGCCCACTGTGTCAATCTACCTCCTTGAAGGTCTTCTTCTGTTTCAGTGACCCTTTAATTTACCAAGCATGATGTTCTTCTCCAGGGACTGGTCCATCCTGATAACATATCCAAAGTACATGAGACAAAGTCTCACCATCCTTGCTTCAAAGGAGCATTCTGGCTGTATTTCTTGCAAGACAGATTTGTTCATTCTTTTAGCAGCCCAGGGTATATTCAATATTCTTTGCCAACATCATAATTCAAAGGCATGAATTCTTCAGTCTTCTTTATTCACTGTCCAGCACCATGTGCATCTAAGGTGACTGAAAATACCATGGCTCGGATCAGGTACACCTTAGTCCTCAAAGTGATATCTTTGCTTTGAACGTATTTAAACAGGTCTTTTGCACCAATCTGCCCAATGCAATATATCATTTGATTTCCTGACTACTAATCCTGGATGCTGATTACAGATCCAAGTAAAATGAAATTCTTGACAATTTCAATGTTTTCTCTGTTTATTATGATTATTTCTTATTGGTCCAGTTGTGAGGATTTTTTGTTGTCTTCATGTTGAAGTGTAATGCATACTGAAGGCTGTAGTCTTTGATCTTCATCACTAAGTTCAAGTCCTCTTCATTTTCAGCAAGCAAAGTTATATTGCACAGCTTTCTTCAATAAAGACTTACGTAGCCTTGGAAACTCTATAGTGCAGTTCTACTCTGTCGTAAGGAGCTCTGGTGGTATAGTGGTTAAGGCGTTTGGTTGCTAACCAGAAAGTCAGTAGTTCATACCCATCAACCACTCCACTGAAGAAAGACTGGGCAGTCTGCTTTCATAAAGATTTACAGCCTTGGATAGATACCCAATGGGGACTGCTGTGAGTAGGAACTGACTCTATGGCAGTGTGTTTGGTTTTTTGTTTTATTTACTCTGTCCTATAGGGTCACTGAAGGAGTTCTGGTCACAGAGTGCCTAAGGCATTTCACTGCTAACCAGAAGGTTGGTGGTTCAAACCCACCAACTGCTCCATGGAAGGAAGACTGGGCAATCTACTTCCATAAAGATTTACTGTCTCGGAAACCCAGAAGAGGGTTGCTGTGAGTCAGAATCAACTCGAAGGAAGTGAGTTTGGTTTTGGTTTATAGGGTCAATGAGACTCAAAATTCACTCAAGAGTAACAAGATTGTTTATCTCATCAGCACTATAAAATGCTGGTAATAAAGATGTCTTTGAGAGAAAAAGACAGCTTTGCAGGCAGAAGGATGAGGATAAGGATTCTATGTTTTAGTTACATAACCCTAGGCAAATCAGACAAGCTGATATCAAATACATTATAGAATAGTGGCTGTGAGACGTAAGTAAAAACTATACGTGAAAAACACTTAAAAATTAGAACTTCATACACAGTTGCTTAATTAGCAAATGAGTGATTAATTTCATTTGCTTAAAATTTGAGTAAAAATATTCTGAGTATTTGTGGAATAAATGAATAAATATCACATATTTCTATGGATGATGATTTAACAACAAATTTAAAAAGGATGGTCAGAAAGTAGGCAAAGGAAACAAAACAAAACAAAAAAACCAAACTCACTGTTGTCGAGTTGATTTTGACCCACAGTGACCCCTCCTTGGGGTTTCCGAGATGGTATCACTATGGAAGTGGATTGCCCAACATTCCTTCCAAGGCATGGCTGGTGGGTTTGAACTGCCAGCCTTCTTGTTAGCAGTCAAATGCCTTAGGCACTACATCAGCAGGCATTACAAATCATAATTTTCCCACAATTAGACAACATTGCTTAGGGAAGCAAACTGTCCACTATATATAAACAACTAAAAAATTTACTTCACAGTAGAATATGATAGCTTACCATGGTTTATCTTAGATTAGGGGGAAAAAAATCTCTCCAGAGCCAATCCTCTGTTTCAATTCCATGCTTATTTCATAAAACCTTCTAACTAGAGATTTGCTTCCCTGGGTACCATGAGAATATAAAGAGTACTCTGGACAACCACTATATAATTATCTTCATTAGAAAGAAAATATCCCTACATCCAGAAAATGAGAATTTAAAATCACCTATTTGAAATAATGAAATCACTTGTTTCCTAAGGCATAGGTAAGGGGAGAGGCCAGGCAGGAAGCAGGAGCTGGCGGATGGCTGGAACAGGTAAGGGAGGAGGCCAGGAAGTAAGCGGAGCAGTTTGAAGCAGCTAAGGGAGATGAACTTGTCTGTCAGTTTGTAGTACTGTGGTAGCTTGCATGTTCCAACAAGGCTGGAGGCTATGCCATAGGTGTTTCAAATGTCAACAGAGTTACCTATGGTGGATAAGTTTCAATGGAGTTTCCAGGCTAAGGCAGACTCAGAAGAAGAAAGAGGCCATCCACTTCTCAAAGAATTGGCCAGTGAAAACCTTATGAACAACAGTGAAACACTGTCTGGAAAACTTTACGAATAGCCCTGAAACACTGTCCGATACAGTGCTCAAAGATGACCTCCTCAGGCTGGAAGGAACTCAAAATGTGACTGGGAGAGAGCTGCCTCCTCAGAGTCGAGCCAACCTTAATGATAGAGCAGAGCTTTCGAGACCTCCATTTGCTGATGTGGCATGACTCAATACGAGAATAAACAGTTGCAAACATCCATTTAATCATTGGAACATGGAACATATGAATTATGAATCTAGGAAAATTGCCAGTTGTCAAAAATGAAATGGAACACATAAAGATTGATATCCTAGGCATTAGTGAGTTGAAATGGACCAGTTTTGGCCATTTTGAATCAGACAACCATATCATCTACTATGCCGGGAATGACAAATTGAAGAATGGCATGGCGTTCATCATCACAAAGAATATTTCAAGATCTGTCCTGAGGTACAATGCTGTTAGTGACAGAATAACATTCATATGCCTACAAGGAGACTGGTTCATACTACTATTATGCAAATTTAGGCACCAACCACCAAAGCCAAAGATGAGGAAAATGAAGATTTTTACCAACTTCTACGGTCTGAAATTGACCAAACACGCAATCAAGATGTGCTGATTATCATTGGCAATTAGAAAGCAGAAGTTGGAAACAAGGAGAATCACTGGTAGTTGGAAAATTTGGCCTTGGTGATAGAAATAACAGTGGAGATCACATGATATAATTTTGCAGGACCAATGACTTATTCATTGCAAATATCATTTTTCAACAACACAAACAGTGGCTATATACGTGGACTTCGCCAGAGTACACAGGAATCAGATTGACTGCATCTAAGGCAAGAGGCAATCGTAAGTTCAATATCTTCAGCCAAAACAAGGCCAAGAGCTAACTGTGGAATAGACCATCAACTGCACATATGCAAGTTCAAGCTGAAGTTCAAGACAATTAAAACAAGTCCACTAGAGCCGAAATATGACCTTGAATAGATCCCTCCTGAATTTAGAGATCATGTAAAGAAAAGATTTGATGCACTGAACACCAATGACTGAAAACCAGAGGAATTGTGGGATGACATCAAGAATATCATCCAGGGAAAAAAGCAAAAGGTCATTAAAAAGACATGAAAGGAAAAAAAGACCAAAATGGATGTCAGAAGAGACTCTGAAACTCACCCTTGAACAGAGAGTAGCTACAGCAAATGGAAGAAATGACAAGATAAAAGAGCTGAACAGAAGATTTCAAAGAGCAGCTTGAAAAGACAAAGTCAATTATTATTATGAACTGTACAAAGACATGGAGTTGTAAAGCCAAAATGGAAGAACATGATCAGCATTTCTCAAGCTGAAAGAACTGCGGAAAAAGTTTAAGCCTTGAGTTGCAATATTGAAAGATTATACGAACAAAATATTGAATGATGCAGGAAACATCAATAGAAGATGGAAGGAATACACATAGTCACTGTACCAAAAAGAACTGTTCGATGTTCATCCATTTCAGGAAGTGGCATATGATTAAGAACTAATGATACTGAAGGAAGAAGCCGAAGCGGCATTGAAGGAAGTGCCAAAAAAACAAGGCTCCAGGAATTGATGGAATACCCATGACATGTTTCAACAAATGGATGCCATGCTGGAAACACTCATTATGCCAAGAAATCTGGAAGACAACTATCTGGCCAAATGACTGGACGAGATCCATATTTGTACTCATTCCAAAAAAAGGTCATCCCAAAGAATGTAGAAATTATTGAACAGTATCATTAATATTGCACACAAGTAAAATCTTACTGAAGATAATTCAGAAATGGTTACAGCAGTATATTGACAGAGAACTTCCAGAAATGCAAGCTGGATTCAGAAGAGGACATGGAACAAGGGATATCATTGCTGGTGTCAGATGGATCGTGGCTCAAAGCAAAGAATACCAGAAAGATGTTTACTTATGTTTTATTGACTATGTAGAAGCATTCGATTGCAAGGATCGTAACAAATTATGGATAACACTGAGAACAATGGGAATTCCAGAACACTTAATTGTACTCATGAGGAATTTGTATAGAGATCAGGAGGCTATCGTTCGAACAGAACAAGGGGACACTGCATGGTTTAAAATCAAGAAGTGAGTGTGTGAGGGTTGTATCCTTTCACCATACTTATTCAATCTGTATGCTGAGCAAATAACCTGAGAAGTTGGGCTATATGAAGAATATGGCATCAGGATTGGAGTAAGACTCATTAACAACCTCCAACATGCTGACAACACAACTATGCTTGCTGAAAGTGAGGACGACTTGAAGCACTTGCTGATAAAGATTGAAGACTACAATCTGCAGTACAGATTGCACCTCTATACAAAGAAAACAAAAAGCCTCACAAATGGATTTATAACCAGCATCACGATAAATGCAGAAAAGACTGAAGTTGTCAAAGATTTCATATTAGTACAATCAACACCAATGCAAGTAGCAGTCAAGATATCAGACATACTGCATGGGGCAAATCTGCTGCAAAAGACCTCTTTCAGGTGCCAAAGAGCAAAGATATCTCCTTGAAGACTATGGTGTGCCTGACACAATCTATGGTATTTTCAATCACATCATATGAATGTGAGAGCTGGACAACGAATAAGGAAGACTGAAGAAGAGTCCATACTTTTGAGTTATGCTGTTGGCAAAGAATACTGAAATACCATGGACTGCTAAAAGAACTAACAAATTTGTCCTGGGAGAAGTATAGCCAGAATGCTCCTTGGAAGCGAGAATAGCCAGACATCATCTCACTTACTTTGGCCATGTCATAACAAAGGACCATTGCCCAGAGAAAGATATCATGCTTGCTAAAGTGGAAGGTTGACAAAAAAGGGGAAGGCCTATGATGGGCTCAAGTATAGCAAGGTTCATGAGGCTGGCAATGGACCAGGCAATGTTTCATTCTGCTGTGCGCAGGGTCGCTATGAGTTGAAGCGGACCTTATGGCACCTAATAACAATAACAACAAGAAGGTTGGCCTGATAATCTTACACCATTTTACTAGGCTCAAGATTACATAGACTGATCATCAACATCAGTGTGCATATGTTTAAATTCAAAGATTCATGTTAAGTCATAATTTTCAAATAGCCAACAGTCTTACTTTCATACTCACCAAACAGCAAAAGCATGTATCCATTATCCCTATCAATTCAGGCAAGGTGAGGTCTTTAATTTTAATGGTGCCATCCTAGAAAGAGACAGTAAATTAAGACATACAATCAGATATTTTCTAAAAGTTATAGTTATTTAAAATTATAGTAGCATTTTGGCTTTTAAAAATTGAATATTTAAAAGTAGCAATTCTAAGAAACTCTCTCTCATCATCTGATAAAACTAAGACATTGAATCAACTATGTATTTCTAAAAACAATGTATTTTAAACCTCTATACCTTTAACATGCCTTTAACCAAAATATCTTAAAATGAGAAATCAAAGCCTCTCTAATCTGAAACAGAATAAAGGCTTTTATAAAGAAATGAAAAGTCAAAGCAAGAAGTATTTTAAAGCACAGTTTAAATTCATTCTAATTATTAATAGATACATATCATTTTAATGGAATGAAGCTAGCTACAAAGGAAAACATTTCCTTTAAATTAATTAACTATAAACCTGGTTCCATCAAGTTGATCTGGACTCATAGCAACCCTACAGGACAGAGTAGAACCATTTCACAGGGTTTCCAAGGCTGTAAATCTTTTCTGACTGCACCATCTTTTTCCCACAGAGTGGCTGGTGGGTTCAAACCACCAAACTTCTGGTTAGCAGTTGAGCACTTAGCCACTGTGCCACAGGGCTCCTCTGATTAAGTATACCTACTCTTCATTTATTGACTGTCCTGTTACCTCACGTTTCACTTTTGACCACGATAGTAAAAAAAAAATCTGACTATTCTGTGTATTAATGACTCATACTGGCAGTAAAGAACGCCAAGGTGCAAGGTAAGAGTAACGCTGGCTATGATGGTTAAGGTTATGTGTCAGCCCGGCTGGGCCATGATTCTCTGCGCTTTGGCAGTAATGTAATGATGCAATTTGGCAGTTACGTAATTATGTATTTTTCATCCTCCATTTGGGATCTGATGTGGTCATCCTCCATTTTTGCATAATGCTAATTTTTAAATAACAATATGGTCTTTGGAATCTAACCATGACTCTAAGTGAGGAGTGAGTGCATACTACTTGTAAATTTTGTTTACAATGTCCATTTGCTTAGGAAATGTTTTATTCATAAATATCTATATAATTAAACTCTTTAGCAATTATGAATTTTTCATAAATTCTTACTGTTTCAAATTCATTACAATTAAATCCTTAAGCTAATTATCCTGATACTTACACATGCAATGCTTTCAAAAAGTAATAAATTAAACACACACAAAGTAAGAGCAAGTTTTTAATGAACACCTCAAACAATTTTCAGATTTTAATAGAAAAAGATAATTAAAGGTTAAAACAAATTCCTATTTCTATACCTGTAAATGCTTTTAAGAAAACTGTACTTTAATACACTAAGATTGATTTTCATTATTAAGTACAAACTTTTAACACATGAAATAGAAAAGGATAAAAAAAATACAATAGTAACTACCTTGATAGCTTGTTCAAAATTGAGAACTTTCCGATTAACTTGATTTCCAATCATTCCAGCGTCCATCTTGGGATCCATCATTTCAATAGCAGACATGGCTTCAAAAAGACCAAATCTACAAATAAAAAAAATTACCCAACAGATTGTTTCTAAACCAGTAAGCTTACCCAGACACTTACAATGGTATATAAATTATTAGTATTTTTAAAATAAAACATGTCTTTTATACATAGAAATTTTTGGAAAAAAGGAAATAGATTATCTGATATATAATAGATTTCACTTTTCCTTCCTTAAATAATTTCTTATAACTATTTAACATTTAGGGAGTCATTCTGAAATAATCATGTAACTTTTACCTCTTTTTCACTTCCTTTATATCTTAAAACTCTAATAATTTAGCACATTACTGTCTATAATGCCCAAAGTTCTGGCAATTACATAATGAAAAATAATCCAGAAATCCTTATGTTCTAGTATTAGTGGCTATTTAGCCATAAAAGCAGATAGCTGTGATGCACTGTGGACTAATTAATAAGTATATCATTTGCTGAGATACATTTCAATAAATGGGAAAGGAAAAAAGAAAAGCCCAAAAGGAGACTTGGTTGTCTATCAAACTACTGACTCCATATTTTACTTAATCTAAATCTACAGTCTAACAGGAAAATAAAGAAATTGACTTGTTACCCTAAGGCACAGCTCTCAGAAAAAAACAGCAGTAACACATCAAAGAGAGCTTTCAGGGACAGTCTGTCTTTCCTTGAAATCTCTCTAACCTCTTACTGCTTCAATTTAAACTCTCTCACAATCTGATCACATGACAGTATCGCTGAAGACAGCTTTCAGTTACAAATTTGATACAATGCTAATCAAAATCTAAATGGTATTTTTCAAAGAGCCTGCCAAGCCAAAATAGAAATTATGTGAGAATGGAAACGTCTTAAAAAAATAAAAACAATGGGGATTCACAAGGTATCAAACAATATTATAAAGCTACAATAATTAAAAGTTTTCTGGAATACAAAGACCCATGTGGGAATTATGACAGAGGCACAATTTCAAATTAGTAGAAAAACAGTGAATTAGTCAATAAATTGTGCTGAAAGAAGTTGCTAACCATCTGGAAGAAGTTAAATCTTCGATTTATACCATCTGAACATATAAATCTCAGACAGATTTAAGTTCTAAACCTGAAACAAACAAATAAAAAAAAATCTTCGATAATTTACAAAGAAGCTATACAGGGAAAAGCTGATAGCTTTAACTGTGTAAATATTTTACAGTTACATACAATAATAATATACAATAGACAGTAAAATATTGACAATAATCTGAAGAAAATATTCTTAATATAGATAATTTTAAAAAGTTTAATTATAACTAACACAAGTAAAAAAAATGCAAATAATCCAAAGAAAAACAGGCAAAGAATATGAACAGGTATTTCACAGAAAATATACACTGCTAATAAAAAAAGTGAAAAACTATACAAATTCAAATGAAATCAAGTAATGAAAAACAGAACAAGGTGGGGGTTTTTTTCTGCCTTGAGACTGGAAAACTTTTTTAAAAAATATCTAGTGTACTCTCATACACTATTAGTGAGAGTGTAAATTAAGACTTTTTTTGAGGAAAATTTGGCTGAGTCCATTAAAATATAAAACAAATACTTGAAGCCAGGCATTTTATTTTTATGCTTCTACCCTATAAAATTATTTTCACATGAGGTTTTTATAAAGCAAATGTCTTCAACTTTCTCTTGTTACCACCTTAATGTCCCTCAATAGAGAAACAACAGAATAAATTATGGCACATCCGTTTTAGTAAATACATTGTAACAGTTAAAAGGTTACAAGGTTGAACTATTATACACTAACATGAAAAGATCTCCAAGATAAATTAAATGGGAAAGGAATTTATAGAATGCATACCATATAAGCCCATTTATACTTCATTTTTACAGATGTTTATTCATGTACATGAACATATTTTTTAAATGGTCTAGAAGGTAATACAGCAATCTAGTAACTTGTAATCAGTGGCTAAAACACTAGTTTGTCACAACGTCTACTCCAGCTCACGGTGCTCCACGTGTTATCAGAATTGAACTATATGCTCCACAGCGTTTTCAATGGCAGATTTTTCTAAAATAGGCTGTCAGGCCATTCTTCCAAGGTATCTCTGGGTAGACTAGAACTTCTCTTTTTTCGGTTAGCAGCCAAACATGTTAACCGTTTACATTAACCAGAGACTCCATAACAGAGACTACCCCTGGGCAAAGACATGAGACTGGAGAAAGAAGGATGTCATAGGAAATTTTTGCTTCATCTCTGATGTATGGCTTTGTTAAAAACAAAATATCCATTTATTACTCACATGAAACTTTTTAAAAAAAGGTTTTAATGACACAATTAAAATCCTAAACCCATGAGATATTTTCCTAATTGGTAAAAACTACTACAGAAACTATAGTACCATTAAATTAGCTAATTTATGCACTAAATAAATAATTACTGAGCACGTACTGTGTGCTAAGCATTGTTCTAGGCATTTGGAATACATGAGTGAACAAAATAAATTTGCCTGCTTCGTGGAGCTTACATTCTAAGGTAAGGAAACAGACAATAATAATAAAGATAAGGAAATTATTTGTATGTTAGAAGATTATTCGTGCTAGGGAGAGAACGGGAAAATAGGCTAAAGGAGATATATGCTCAGGAGAAAACATACAACTTTGAAAGACCGTCAGAGTAGGCTGCTGGCAGTCATGTTTCTCCAGGTTCAAAACCTAAAATCTTGGGGAAATCAAGGATAGCAGGTTCCTCTAGTAGTCCTCTCTCAAGCCTTGTTCCATGGCCAGGAGCCACTTTGCTACATTCTTCTATGGTTTGGTTTCATTGCATCTTTCCTGTAATTACCTGCCTCATCAAAATGATGATCTCTAGTGGCTCTCAAAGCCTGGGCTCCAGATCAGCAGCATCACTACCCAGGAAATTGGTAGACATCCAATTTCACAGGGTAGCAACTCTGTGGTGTAGCCCAGTAACTTGTTATTTAAAAAGCTCTCTGGGTGACTGTGACACACATTAAAATATGAGAACTAAATTTTGGTTCCCCACAAAATTTTTTCCCCACAAAAACTCCAATCTTGTCTATTTACCAGTTTAAAACTTCATGTCCCTGCCTTTGAAAATTGAGCCTGGTCATAGTAGTATGGGAATTGAGATTAATCTATGTGAGGAAAAATATAATCAAGTATTTCCCTTTATTATTGTTTTCTACAGATTCTCAAATTTACTTTCATCCAGGCATTTGTTGATCTCTGTCTATCAGCAAAGGAGCTCTGGTGGCACAGTGGTTAAAGCATTTGGCTGCTAATCAAAAGGTCAGCAGCTCAAACCCACAAGGTCAGCTGCTCCACAGACAAAGATAAGGCAGTCTGCTTCCATAAAGATTCACAGCCTTGGAAACCCTATGGGGCAGTTCTTCTCTATACTATAGGGTCTCTGAATCAGAATCAATTCAATGGCAGCAGGTTTGGTTTTCCTGGTTTGGTCATCAGCAAATAGCACGTGGCAATCATACCCTTTAAAAAATTCTACATCCTGTACATCTACTTTCAAGTAAAGGACCACAGTCACAGTGCCTAAGACATTTGACTGCTAACCAGAAGCCTGGTGGTTCAAACCCACCAGCCTCTTCGGAAGGAAGGGTAGGCAATCTACTTCTGTAATGATATTGCCTCGGAAACCCAAGGAGGGGTCGCTATGAGTCGGATCCAACCCAACGGCAGTGAGTTAGTTTTGTTTAACCCTTCTATAATACAACAACAACAACATAACTAGGGTCAAATGCTTCAAAATAGCTTACCAAAGTTTAAAATATAATTAGGTTTTTGGTTTTATGTTTTTTTGCAGTTTTGAAATGTAAATTTACTCAGATCCCAAAAACTACTACTCCATGTGAAAGGAAAAGAGGCATTACACTCTTGTGGTACAGTGACTTATTTCATAGGCCCTACTAGCATGGTCACTGTAACTGCCACACAATGACTTGGTAGGACTATGCAAATAAGATGCTTGTGTCCCACCAAGGGGACTGATAGCCTGCTGCTAATGCAAATAAGGAGTATGGAACCTCTGATGGTTAAAGTTATATGTCAACTTCAGCAGGCCATGATTTTCAGTGGTTTAACAACTAAAAAATGATAGAATTCTCCTCCACTTTGTAATGTGTTATAAATCCCAGCCTCTATGCCTATGGTTGTAGTCTCATTTGGGAATGAACTGTCCATTATGTTAATGAGGCAGGATTCAGGTGTGAGGTATCCTGAGTCACTGCCTGATTCCAGTCACCATTCTTACACAGTCATCGTTCTTACCAGCCTTATGCAAATCATACCCCTGAACCGTCTTGATCAAGTAAGGGGAGTTTCCTTGAGAGTATAGCCTGCATCCAATATATATTTATGAATGCTCTGGAAAAGTACTCCCTCTTGCTCCGGATCCTGCATCCAGCTCCCATCATCTAATCTCTGGTTTTTGGAACTTGAGCCAGCAGCCTAACATCTGACCTAATTTGACAGCTTCCACAGTCCAGTAAGCCTATTATCTGACCTGTCAATTTCAATGCATCAACCCTTGCAACCACATAAGTCAGGAGAAGCCTCCAGCCTGATGTCTAACATATGGATTTGGGATTTTCAGGCTCCCTAACAGTGTCGACCATTTCTTGATGGTTCTTGAGTTCTCCAAAACAGTGCAGCAAATCACAAAACCCAAAGACAGGAGGGGAAGTACTGAGGGGAGTAGTAGTTGATGTCAGACATGATGGAGTTGTACAACAGTTTGGAAAAGTGGGACAAATGGGACATCTTTAACCTCCACCTCATAGTAACTAGCTTTGTGTTGAGCCTTCCAAAACAAAGTATTCAGGGACTTCCAGTAAGATGGAGGAATAGGCAGATAAGCGGCACAGACCCTCTTCAACAGAAAGAAAAACCAATTGACAGAGATACAGAAGATCATCCTGGGACCCTGAGCTTTGAAAGGAACTATATACAGAAGTGGATTAGGCACCAACTAGTGGAAAAACCTGAAGGAAAATAGTGAGTACAGGGACGGTCGGAGCTGCAGACTGTCAGCTACTCTGAAGAGACCAATAACTTGAATATTTCCAAGTGATGTTGGGACTTGGGAACTGACCTAAAGATTACTCCTGGTCACCAAGGGCTGCAGGGACAACTGCTCTGGTGGCCTATGACTACCAAAGGAAAAAGCAAGGAGGGAGACAACCTGAGCTGTGAACTATCTGCTGTCTGGAAAGCGCAGCCATTTTCATTGTTTACAAGCGACGGCCATTATGGATACTTAAAGTGACCGAGGGCGCAGCCATTTTGAATGTTTACAAGAGGCGGCCATTTGGATATTTAAAGTGACTGAGGGCACAGACATTTTGAATGTCTACAAGTGACGATTTTGGATTTTAAAGTAATAGTATTCTCCTTTGGATTCCAGGGACCTAAGAACAGGCTCTGTGTGCCAGGGTCTGCAAGGACATACTAGAGGCTGACAAAGGAAAGGAGACAGGTGGTGAGTGTGTAAGTGCTGTCAACTACTGAATAGAGGAGCACAGCACAGTATCCTGCCTGTATAGATAACATACAAAGAAAACGAAAATTGTGGGCAAGTCACTCCAACATATAATCACCAATTAAATATAAACACCAAAACATCACAATGCCTCAGAGACAACAGAGCATCACAGTCCACACAAAGAAGCAAGATAAAGCAGGAGAAAGAAGGGACCAGGATATAGACCCAAAACACATCCCTGAAGAAGAAGGCAGCATTGGAACTCCCTGATAAGGAGTTCAAAAGAATTTATTTAGGTATCTTCAAAGGATTGAGAGGCAGATAAAGGAAAACACAGACAAAACCAAAGAAGAATTCTGGAAGAAAATACAAGAACAAAATGACAAAATAAATGAAACATTAGAAATGATTCTGAATCTATAGATAGAAATCCAGAAGATTAATCCTAAATTGTCAGAAATAGATAACACATTTGAAGGGCAAAGGAGTAGAACTGATGCAACGGAAGACAGAATTAATCACACTGAAGACAGATACCTGAATACTTCTTTGGAAAGGGATCAATCAGAAAAAAGATCAAAACAAAATGAAAGCCTCGGGTTGATGTGGGATACCATCAAAAGGAATAACCTACATGTCATTGGAATTCCAGAACAGGAAGAGAAAAATAAAACCACTGGGAAAACTGTCCAAGATTTGTTGGAGGAGAACTTCCCTGATACGATGAAAGATGAGAATATATCCTTCAGGAAGTCCAACAAACCCCAAACAGGACAGACCCCAAAAGAAAAATACCAAGACATATCATCATCAAACTCACCAAAACCAAAGACAAAGAAAGAATCATGAGAGC